GTACTTTTAAAATATTATAAATATAATATCATGTTCAATCAATGTCCGTGTCCTATATTTTCAATAATTGATGTGTCATGTGTCCGTGTCATGTCATATCTGTGTTGTCGTATGCGTGTCTTGCATCATAGATGGTACCACTTGGATATTTCTCCATTTTAACAATTGAGTTTCAACTTAAAAAATAATATCCCCGTTATTCTATATGAGAGATCAAATATTTAAATCGATCACACCCACAAGTATAAGTTGATCTTTAGCAATATTTACTAACTAACAATTTTGCACAATCTAAAATCACATATCATATGCCCTACTGTTTTTCTACAAATCTTAAGCAATTTATCTTCTAAACATTTATTCCATTACTCTAAATTTCTACTTATATCAGATAGGTTTCACTAATTACAAATCTATCATATGCAAGTAACATACACCAATGTACTTCAATTTAAATATACTTTGTAAAGATTTTCAAAACTATAGATTTACAATCGACACTCGAAATATTATACTACTATTACGAACACTTTGATCACTTTACAATAAGTAATGCTAATCTATGTTCCATTATATATATCTGTATAAATTCAATATGTTTATAATACACACCCTTTTTTAATATGCAAAAATTCAATTTTCACGGTATCTAATCATAAACTTTAAAGATAAATAAAAATTGAATGATCATTTGTTTGCTCTCTAGACATTTTCATTAGTTTTGAAGCATAAAAATTGGCATAATAGTAGAGCTTCTTCACCTAAAATCAAATATATTCTCAAATAGTAGCATGTTTTTCCAAAATCTTCATTTCATTGCCCCTCTCCTATCACTTCATTATATGATTTAATAAGTTGATTCCCCTATAATTATCACAATTATAAATATTACCCATCTTCTTAAATATTAGTATCAAAATTGTACTCCAATTATTTGATATCCCTAGCTTGTTAAGGCTTGTTTAGATTCCATGAAATGAATTTTTGCTCAAACTAATACAATATATAGCACAATTTTTCATATCTCAATTGGCATGTAAATTGAGAAATAATGGAGAAAATCCCTTTTCCATAACTCTACAAACCCTTAAATAGTTATCTCAAAATGCAACCTCTATTACAAAATTTTAACTAATATTTATTATTAAAAAAAAGTAAAATTAAGTTAATTTTGAAGATGTATAAGCTAAATGATGCTCATCCTCAAACATAATGGCCTAAGCTTTGGAGAAGATGTATAAGTGAAATTGAGTCACATCCACAAACATAATGAATAATCATACTTGCTTGTATAAGTGAAGAATACAGCAACAACAAGCCTTTATCCCGATATGTGGGGTCGGCTATATGAATCATTTTTTCTCCATTGTGCCCTATTAAAAGTTATATTTTCATTTAAATCTAATTTAAAAAAAAAATTTAATACTTTCTAACCAAATCTTTTTAAGTCTACATCTACCTTTCTTAACATAAGCTAGATCTAATACATCTACTCTATTAAAAGGGTCATTGAAAGGAGGATGTTTTATGCGACCAAACCAGCTAAGGTAACTTTCTCTAATCTTATTTTCCACTGGAGCTACTCCAACCTTTTCATGTATATACTCATCTCGAATTCTGTCTCTAAGTGTAAAGCCACTCATCTACTAAAGCATCATCATCTCTGCAACACTTAATTTTATAGTTCTATTTTAATGGACAACATTACGCACTATAAAGCATTGTAGGTCTCACCATCTAATAAAATTTTTCCTTAAGTTTTAGGGGTACTTTCTATCACACAATAGGCCTGATGCATTCCTCCGCTTCAACCATCCAACTTGAATTCAACTTATAATATCCCTATCTATCTTACCATTATTTTGAACAATAGACCCTAGATATCTAAAACATGCACTCTTTTTAATGACTTGATCACCCAATGTCACAATCCCACCACTAGATATATTACTACTAAAATTGCACTCCATGTATTCAGTTTTAGATCTACTTAAACGAAAACTTTTAGACTCTAAGGTTGAGCTCCATAATTCAAGCTCTTTATCAACTCCCTCTCTAGTCTTATCAACAAGAAGAATATCATCAACAAAAAGAATACATCAAGGTACATCCTCTTGCAAATGTTTAGTAAGAACATCCATGACTAAAGAAAAAACATATGGGCTTAAAGCTGAACCTTGATGTAATCCAACTTAAATAGAAAAATACTTGGTCAAACCGCCTTTTGTTTGAACACTAGTAATAGCTCATGTATACATATCCTTAGTAATTTGAATACAAGAATTATTAACTCATTTCTTTTCTAAAACTCTCCAGAGCATTTCTCTTGGAACTTTATCATATGCTTTCTCTAAATCTATAAATATTATATATAGATCCTCCTTACTCTCTTTGTACTTCTCCATCAAACCTCTCAGCAAATGTATAGCTTCCCTAGCAGACCTACCCAACATGAATCCAAACTGATTTTGAGAAGCATTAGTATCACATCGTAATCTATGCCCAATTACTTTCTCCCATAATTTTAATATATAACACATTAACTTAATTTCTCAATGATTTGCACACTCTTATGCATCACCTTTATTATTAAAAATAAGAATCAACATATCGTAATCTATGCCCAATTACTTTCTCCCATAATTTTAATATATAACACATTAACTTAATTTCTCAATGATTTGCACACTCTTATGCATCACCTTAATTATTAAAACTAAGAATCAACATTCTTTCTCCACTCACCTGGCATCTTTTTAACCTTCAAAATAATATTAAAAATTTTAGTAAGTCAAGAAATTACTTCATCTCTTAAACATTTTCATATTTCTATTGGAACATTATCAGACCCTACTACTTTTACATATTTCATTTTCTTTAAAGCCTCTATAACTTCGGCTTTACTAATACGATGATAAAAATAAAAATTCTTATTTTTATTTAAGGTGCGAAGGTCACTAAAGTCAATCGTATTCTCATAACCTTCATTAAAAAGTGAAGGGTTGTGTTAAGTAATTAATAGCTAGCATAAAATTTGTCAAATAATCATGACATGAATCTTTTAATTTATTGTGTTATATAAGTGAAGAATATAGTTGAGAAATTAAATGTAAGTGAATGATTGAAATGTCATTACTTAATATGCAGATCTATTAATCAAACATGAATGAGCACAAGTTTGATGAGTAAATATTTTCATTTGTGGTTCTCTCATTTGTTATCGAATTGAATACAAACCAAACTTAAACATGCATCCAAGTTGCCATATGCATGAAAAAAAAATTTAATCAATGGTTGTGATGGCTTTAAAAATGATTTATGATTTTAATTGAACAACATCCTTTAACTGACAAAAAAAACTTAAAATATATGTTGTCCATCATGAATTTTAAAGTTATTTGATAATATTTAACAATAAAATAAATGAGAAAAAAATTAAACAATTATTGTGTACGTGTATGCATGTATATACTCATGCATATGCCACACACAAGCATACTTATTTATACCAAGCTCTTATTGACATAATCAAGTCATCTCTAGCTCATGTTCTTTTAATAAATGTATTAAAAAACCTTTCTCAAGATTAGCACATTTAGTCATCAAACAACTTGTACTCAAGCTAATTAACAAGCCAAGCACCAATTGTTTGATAAGATCAACCTTTTTTAAAACCCCTAAACAATTAAGAAACAGCTGTATTAAATCCTAATAATTTTACAATATGAAATGAAACAGCTGTGTTATTATACCAAAAGCTTTTTGTAAAAATTAGTAATGTTCCCAATCTATTTCACCCTCAAAAGCTCATCATAGACAGAAATATTTGCTCGAGTTCTTCTGCACCTTGTATTGTTGAAATAAACCAAGAGGCTTCTAGAATTGAAAAAAAAATGTCTTGATTCAGCTTAAGAGCATAACCAGCAGGCGTTTGAGTGATATATTTTCAATATATAAACATAATAAAATTAAAATTAAAATTGTTTCAGGAAAACCACGGGCAGCTCAAAATAAACAGCACCTGCAAAGCGTCTTCATTTCATCTCTCCAGCCGCACTCTATGAGCCTTTCCCTCAAGAGATCCATCAGTTTTTCCTTCTCCCCGCTCTCAATCAACTTCATAGAAAAAAAAAAAAAAAAAAAAATCAGCGGTCAGATAGAAAAAGCAACCTCCTGAACACAAAGAAAAAGAGAGACGGTACTTTGATGTTGATGATTTCCTGAAGTGTCGGCTCTTTCTGTGGCTCATCGTCGACGTCTGGCGTTGGCGGCCGATTGACCGAACCCCTCCTTCATTGGCGCCCAATCGATTAAATAAAGGAAGTAGAGGCGAGATCGTCATATTTAAGAAAAAACAAGGTAAGAATTGAATCAAATGAGCCATTTTGAATGCCATGATAAGATCTAGATGAACACAGAGATCGATTACATTGTCCTCCTCCCTCGCTCTCAAGCTTCCCCTTCGCAGTCCCGCAATCGCTTCGCTTGCCTGTCCGCAACAACCCCAGAGCAAGCCAAAGCTAGTTCTTGCTATCGAGGGACTTTTTGGGAGCTTCTAGTTTGGCAAATTTTTCAAGAGATTTTTATAATATTGGCTAAATTTTTAGAATAGGATATATTATAATTTGGTAATCATAAAAAATATATTTATAATTTCATTCTCAAAATAATTTATTAATTCTTAAAATAATTTACTTTTTCATATTTTTTTTTAACTATTTGTATAGTTGCTCTAATTAGCTTAAGCAAACTCAAGAGTTATTCAGCTCTACTATCTAAGCAAATGAGTTAAAATTTAATGTTTTTGCGCAACTTGTTAAATTATCAAATTTATCTCAAGTTGTTCATAAATATAAACTCTTCTTAAAAGTGATATATAATGGGATATTGACTTTATATGGCCTATAATAGTAAAAATTGGAGTAATATAGATATTTTATTTTAGGGAAATATGCTCAAAAGTTTTTCAAGCTAAAATATTCTCGCTTTTGAATGTGGAGTACTAAATTGAGGTCACTCCTGAGCTATTAAGTTTAAATGAGCTTCGAATAAAGTTAGATCATGATTTGAATGACATGTGAGAAAAAAAATCAACCCTTGTTTGAACCAACCTAAGTTTGAATAGGGTTAGGACAAGGCTTGGGCAAGGTTCAAGCAAAGCTCAAACATGTTAAAACAATACTCAAATTGGGTCTAAGCAAATTTACCTACAACAGATACAGTGAAGTGTGTGCCAATAGTTTTAATTGAACAAACTACAAGATTAATATAACATAATATAATCATAATAGCTATAGCATTAATAGATTATAAGGCATATATAATAGAGTGTAAACTAATGGCTATAAAACATCATAATGATAAACAAAATATCATTGCACAATCAATCAACAACATTACTTGGCTAATAGCCTTTCACTTTGTATTAGTCGCACCTGAGTTGTACCACATCCTTCTTTGCCTTTGAAGGTTATAGATTATTCCTTGGACAAACACTCTTTGACATCACTTGTGGTAGTAACATAAAAATTCCCTTTATTTTGGAGTGATTTAAATTTTTAGCATACATAATTACAATGTTTTATGTGTATAGAACTTTGAATGTAAGCCATAACTAACACCTTTGTCCTGAGCCAATATAAAACACATTTGCATGGGAGAAACATAAATCAAACTTTATGCATGTACATATTCTCTCTCACAAATCAACAATATTGTTAAGATCGCCATCAATGATATGCAATTCAAATTGACTAATATAAGATACAATAAAAATTTTGGCTTTATTCAAAAGCTTTTTCAGTGTTTCTTTGATTATTTTCATCAAAAATAATTTTTTTTTAATTTGTTATTGTTATAATGGTATATCTATCAAAGAATAATATATGTATCATATTTCTTAAAAACTTTTATAATGCAGAAAATGGATATAAGCATGTACAGTTGGTAACATTATTGAAGCTCATTTTAATAATAAGTTTCATCAAGTTATATCAATTTTCATGAAAGAAAACATGAGCCCAACACTCAAAGCTTGCTAACTCCATTCTCCATATAGGTATATATGGTTGGGTTCTTGATGTAAATTTTGTCAAATTGCTTATAAAACACAACTTTTCTATAAGACCTAAAAGTCATATGATATTCCTCATGATATTTATCAATTTAATGGTCGTTGTGGTATGGTAAGTGCAAGCTCACTAATGTTTGTCTAGAAAATGGATAATAAAGTATTATTGATGTATATATATTAGAGATAAATACTAAGTTTTCCCTTTCACTATTAACTCTCTCAATCTGGCCATGAAATATGTTAATAAATGATTATGTTGAGAGTCAATTACTATAAATACCATGAGTATTAGCAATTTTGATGCCCCAGAATTTAATTTGGATGAATTCTTCTTATTTATCAATATATAACAACCAGAGCTATCTAATTTCACTTATCAATATAAATACCAGCAAAAATAAAACTATCCATCAAAATAATAATATATATACATCTAAATTCATTTTTCCAAAAATCATATACACTATTCATGATCTATACAATTATTTCACAACTACCATGTCATAAGTACAAAAGAATAGTTAAAAACTAGGAACATAAACTTGAAGGATCATGGTCAATCTCACACTCCTTGTCATGCCCCAAAATAGAAATTCAAATTGCTACACTTCTTTTCCCAAGTCCTGACCTAAAATCTTTTAACCATACATAATGAGTTCAAGAGCCCAGCAATTAACCAAATCCTATAATTAAACTCAAATATGACAAAATTAAAGCAATATGCATATCAACAATCAAATTATAGTAGTAATAATTATATGATCATGAATTAGTGCAGAAGTAGTAAAGCTCACATATAGTAGTAATAAAGTCTGAAAATGATAAAATAATATGATATACAAGCCAATATAATAGTACAGTGGAGAAATCGATAAATTAGTAAGGGAGTCAAATTAATAAAGTAGTCATCATATCAGTATTATCAATCAATAAAGAAATTATATAAAGCAATAAAATTAAAGCATTGGTAAGAACTGTTGGAATCATATCAATACATAAGAAGCATATAAATATATGCATATGTATCATATCAGCATCTTAATTACATGCTCAATATATCACGTGCTTAATATCAGTGTAGTGAATCTGTAGTATCAAACAGTGTCGGTGTCTATATCGATAATAATAATAGTCCGGTATCATTAGTAAAATTGGTGATAGTAACAATAAAATAATATGGTGATAGTGAATCCAAATAATAATAGTAAATCAGTACAATAATTATAAGGTCGTATAACAATAATAAATTAGTAACATACATTTTAATAATCATATTAAAAAAATAAGAAGTCATAGTTTATATAGTATTTTTTATCAGTAAGTTTATTGTCATTAATTCTTGGCTCAGTAAATAGAGTGATCACTCTTTGCCTATCAGCATAATAATAACTCATCATAACTCTCAATCAGTGTATCATATGAATCAGTAGAGGATAACACCAAACCACAATAGTTAAAGGAAAGCTTGTTGGCCCATCATACTATACATGTTAGTCAGTCTCTAGCATATGTCAGTAAAATTAGATTTTTACTTGACTTCATATATATTATTTCATATTATTATAATAATAATAGTAATTAACTATTAGTTAATCATACACCCATTTTCATTCTTAATACCCGTATTAACAGTATGCTTAAATAAAAATGCATATTTATTTATTCAGTACAATTCATATACAATTTAATAACTTTTATTTTACCTGATGAAAATCAATAATATTATAGTTAAAATGCTTATATTGTTGGCATATATCACATACAAAAAATTATGCTATGAAAATTTACAAACATTTAAGATATTATAGCTTTTAAAAGTTTTGAATAAATTAAAATGTATAAAACACAAAATACACAAAACTCTTGAAATAAAAAATAGGATAATGATTCCTTACAATAATACAAGTAAATTATTCAATAGGATTGACTGACAAAAAATTATTCGCTCCATGATCTCCAAACCCTATATTTTCTTCCTCACCCTCTCTCTTTTTTTTTTGTTAATTGAATAAATAGGGAAAAAGTCTTTTAATAGATTTGGGTTAATTGATTAATATATTTATAATAAAATAACAATATAATATAATTATAATTATATAATTTATTCAATTTTTAATATAAAATTTATATAAATTTTCTTATATCTTCAAATTTAAAGATCCAAAAATCATAAAAAATATCCATAAAATAATCCATCATATTTAAAAATTTTCTGTGAAATCGATTTGCAAAACAGACACCAAACAGTTTCAAAACCCTCAATTATACCGAGGTGTCAATTTTTCAAAGATTTGCACAAATGCCTAAAATTTTTAGAAAACTTAGTGTAATTAAAACACTACAATATCTATGTTATGACAAAGACAATTTATAATTTGCACTTATAATGATTCTAGAAAACATTTATTTTAGTAGATGAAAATATGGTTTATTACATAAATAATTTCATAATCCCTTTTTACATATGGTATGAATCCCATTTTACATATATATTTATTGTTAGTAACTGTTAGCTCGATAAATAGATTGATCACTCTTTGTCTGTCAGCATAATAATAACTCATCATAACTCTCAATTAGTGTATCATGTGAATCAGTAGAGGATAACATCAAACCACAATAGTTAAAGAAAAGCCCCTTGGCCCATCATACTATACATGTTAGTCAGTCTCTAGCCAATGTCAATGAAATTAGATTTTTATCTGTCTTCACATATATTATTATCATATTATCATAATAATAATAGTAATTAACTAGTAGTTAATCATACACCCATTTTCATTCTCAATACATGTATTAACAGTATGCTAAAATAAAAATACATATATTATTTATTCAGTACAAATCATATAAAATTTAATAACTTTTATTTAACCTGATGAAATTCAGTAATATTACAGTTAAAATGCTTATATTGTTGACATATATCACATACCAAAAATTATGCTATGAAAATTTGCTAAAATTTAAGATATTATAGCTTTTAAAAGTTTTGAATAAATTAAAATGTATAAAACACAAAATACACAAAACTCTTGAAATAAAAAATAGGATAATGATTTCTTACAATAATACAAGCAAATTATTCAATA